TATAATCCTTCTATAAAAGTAAATGATTTTAGGATTGCCTAGAACAATGGATCTAAGCATTTATCACTAATAATTTGGGCTGAAGATCTAATTATTTATTTTTCTCTTGATTTAACTTTAAATCCAGTTTACACACCTACATGCTAATAGTGATGAAAGATGTCTCTGTTTTAAAATAACTTTTTCTTTTCTCAGTTTCTACAGATAAAGTGATCTGAAGCAATGTATGATAACACAAAAGCAGCAAAGAGAGACTGTGACAGCCCCCAGAAATGTGAAAGGAGGCTTCTTACCGGAGAACAGCATCTTTGATTCGATTTATATAAAAATCCCAAATAAATAAATGGCCGATATCGTCCAGTTTTAGAAATTCCATTTCTTCTATGTTCTGAGCTGTACAATTGTCAGGTTTTTATGGTTTAAATTGTAAATGTGTTTTCCCTCTTCCCGATTATTTTTTTTAAGTCTTAAAATGTGATGGACATTTATGAATGGTAAGAGAGACTCTGTATACAAATGTATATTTGTAAAAGCTATTTTTATGATTAGCATGTTTCATTGTCAATCATATATAGTCAGGTGCAATTCTATGTTTAAAACTTATTTCCAACAACAAAATACAATGCCATGTAAGAAAAAATACATTGTATGGTAGTTTTATAATTTATTTTTAATTTATAGTTTAAAGTACTTCAGATCATAAGGATGAAACACTTGAAAAAATTATATTTCTGCCCTCAATAAGCAGCATTTTTATTAATAAAGAATGCAATTATGTATTTCAGATGTGATGCAACAGTTAAAGGACTATTGTTTTGACTTGTGACTAAATTGAGCATGCTCCGCTCTACTGAACTGGAATGTTCCAATTATTACCTAATATTTCAGTATGGATGTAAGATTCCATGGACAGGTTTCAGTGCTCATACAGGTGAGAACTAGATGGACAAGAAAAAGATTGTCTTGTCTTTCAATCCAAAAGTTTCAATTAGTGCATACATCACTTCATTTCATCTCCTGTTCCCAAGGATTCTTAACTCCTAAGCATTGCAAGTGTTTTTCAGATACTTCTAGCTATTGTCTTGTGCTGTGGAAATGGAAAGAGCCATCTTCGCAGTCCATAGGAGAAATCAGCATATAATTTCTAAATAAATACTTCCTTTTAAAACAAAGTTGGTGTGTGTTGTCTTTTCTTTGGGGTGCACTTAGTTTTAATATTCTGTAGAAATTTGTTAAGTCATTGTAGTAGTGCAAAGACTAGTAGAATAACGAAAGTAGCATAGTTTTGCTGAAGTATGTATTTATATATTTCTATGCTCACACACTTCATGAATTGACCTGTGTTCTGGAACACGATACTTTGCCATGTAAAAGAAAGCCAGATGCTCCTTAATCCTTGACAGAAGTCATACTCCAATTCACATCTCAAAATGGGGTGTTTTCTTCTCCAAACACAGAGTTTTAAGAAAGCATTTCAGGACTGAAAACAAACCTACCTCATCAGGAGGTGTGTATGCGGTGCCACACTGTAAGCTAAATGATCAAAAAGTCCTCACTAAACAGCAGAGAGACAACATGCAATGTCATCAGAAAAACTTGTAACATTTTTCAAAGAAAACCTAAAATTACCCTGGTATGTCTTTCCTTAATTTTCCATTTAATTTTTTTTGTGTAATCTATCCTCTTTATCTCTCAAATATGTTACTGAAAACTGATATAATTTCACCCCCAAAATGGATATCCAAAACCAAAATATTGAAGAAAATAATTACAGAGCCTGCCTTTAGAGAAAATAAATATACCACATTTTCTTATTTAAAGTCTTCTACAAATTTGTACAATAGAGCCTCATGTCCAGATCCAGAATGAACTTTGTTTTTAAGGGACTATAGAAACCTTAAATGATACACTAACTACTTTTGGTGGCCATCATAGAAAGAGGATTTATGATTACGCTTCATTGGATTCTGAAGCTATATCAATCCATATGAGAATAAAATCAGCACAGTGATTAGTTAATTTGCTACCAGATGGATAAGTTTGTAAAGAATAATGTGGGGCTCTGGAAAAAAAACATGTTTCAAGCACTGTTTGTCATGAAATCATTTAATGAATATTTTCCACATTTTGCAGTTTGTCCTTTTAGCACTAAATAGTGCCATACCTAAACTTAAGATTGGCAAAAATTATTGATAGTATCATAATTTCCCTGATGATCATTAAATATTCTCAAAATAAGGTGAGTAATTAAAATATATAAAAGGCAAATGTATGATAGCTCTTTCTGTGTCTTCTGTTCTAATCCGTTGGCCTACATGGATATTTTTGTGTCAGTACCATACAGTTTTTATTGCTCCAGCTTGCAATATAATTTGAAATACAAGATTGTAATGCCTCCCACTTTGCTCTCACTACTCAGGATTTCTTTGAGTATTTTGAGTCTCTTCAGATTTCATAGAAATTTTAAGATTGTTGTTTGCAGTTCTATGATTTGTCTTTTGGTATTTTGATTGGAACTGCACTAAGATATTTCACTTCATATCAAAAATAAGTTCATACTCTAGGCAAAAGAAATTCAAAAGAAAATCCAACTTTACTTACAGAAAATGAGATTTTTAAATAATCTGATGATGTCCCTCAGGAGCTTTCAAATACTTACTCTAAAATAGCTAAAGCTGAAATTCTGATAAGAAAATGGTATGTTTGAAACATGCTTCACCCACAACATATTGGAGTTAATGTGTAAGGGCAACTTCTTACGTATCTATAGACTCACAACATATGCTATTGTGCTGGCTTCCTGTAAACATTGCAGAACAATGTGAAGATACATACTACACAGTTTCAAAATATAAAAGTTTAAGAAATAT